ATCCCCGCGCCCCCGAGAAGCTCAAATTCCAGCGACGCATGGTGTTATATGCGTCGCTGGCCGATAACGGTCGCTCGTGGTATCGCGGTCGGAAATCCACCAGAGGTGGCGGGTACGCTATCTGCGGCTCGAAGGCGGGCGGACATTCGTCGCGCGTCAGGGGCACTCGCAGGGGCGGCATGACTCTCGCGGTGGACGGGGGAGCGACCGACGGCTTGGTGGAGGACTCAGGCTTTAATGGTAGCGACCCCTGTAAGCGGGGGTCCGGTAGCGGGTGGTCAAGGTCTACTTGACCCGATAGTCTCCGCTCCGCCAAGCCGCGCGCCCCGTCCGCCGATTCCTTCCCCAGCGGAGGCTCGGGCTCCGCTTGCTCGCTCGCGTTCACCGGGGGAGGGCGGCGGAACCAGACGACGCCCCGCTCGCTCATACCGCAAAATTTGACCCCGGAAAGCTGCCGCGGTGCCTGCCGCTTGCAAGCCTCTCGCTGCGACTTGATCTTGGAGCTGCTCGATGGACAGCTCCAGAATCCACAAGTCGGGATCGCGTTTTTCCGACATCCCCGACGCCCTCGCGATACGCGAATCTCGCGACTAAATTCGTCCACGAACGCCGCTCACCACCAATTCCGCTATTTGTGAAGTCTAACTCTAGCGGGACACCCGTTACGTGATCCCGTCGCAAGAAGTCGCGCAAGAAATCGCGCAAGAACCGCTCGCAGTCCGCACACTACTATCCTGCCTCTCCCTCGAAAGCCGCACTGCTCACCCTGCTTCACGAAATAGCCGAATAAACACTCGTTGACACGGCAGAGAGAGCGGACAATGGCAAAAAAAAAATTTTTTCTTGACCGGCTCGCGAAAGTACTGAATTCAAGAGAACAAAAAAATAATTGAATCGATACCGGCCACTGTCACTATCAAATATAGGCGGTGTTGAGGCGACACTTATGATTTCCGCACGATTCACACTCGGGCGAGGCACTTCCGGCACCCAAAAAATTTTTAAATTTCCACGACACAAAATTACTCCCAGAAAGTGGTCGCACCGACAACACTGAGACACACTTATTTTCGTGCCGAAGGGACACAGACATCATGAGCACACGGACACCACTAATAGACACAGAGCAGCCGCGAGGGTGCACGTCACCGACGGTCTCGCGTTTCGTATTACTCCCCGACGGACACTGATCTTTATCCCGTTGGTAAAAAAAAAAATAAGAAAATAGGCCCCACGTTGGGCGCCAAAAATTTGCGACGTATTTATCGAGACGCCGTTAATCCGCCGGCAAATTTCCGCCGGCTCCCGACACGCGATTCTCCAAACGCGAGAAGTTGGGCGCCAGGTGCGGAAACGGCCGCACCACCGCACAAAGAAGGGTCGCGAGCAGATAGACTTTACCGGAAACCACCGATAGATAGATTGTGTCCGGAGCCGTACGCGACCGGTAGCTCCAGGGAATTCTGGAGTCGGAGACGTGATGGGTTCGTCCGGAGGGTGGTAGGAAGTAATCGAGGAGTCGTAGTTCGATTGTAAACGAATTTTATTCGGGCGGGTCTCCCCGCCCCAAGGTCGGACGCGGTACACCAAATCGAAAGCGACGACGATACACGGAATCGTGCGCCGTCCGTGACAATATGCGAGTCGGCAGGGAGCCTAGGGCCGGTCCCTAGGTTTCGCGATTTCGCGGCCGCTCCACGGACGAGACGATATGACAGACCGATAATATGAGCAGATAGGAGGCCTTACAATTTCCGATGGCTCGCCCTTCGGGGTGACGTCGGTGTCGCGGTCCTTCTCGGGTGTGTCCTCTGCCTCGGTTCCGTCGGCGCTCTCGCTCGCTCGTTCTCGCTTGCTCTCTCCCGACCGCCGTCTCTCTCTCGTTCCCGCTGGCACGCTCTTTCTCTCGTTTTTCGCCGACACGTTCTCTCTCTCTCTCTCTCTCTCTCTCTCTCTCTCTCTCTCTCTCTCTC